CCCTTCCCTTCCTTTTCCTACCCTTCCCTTCCTTTTCCTACCCTTCTCTTTCACGGAGTTCATTCTAAGAACTGGTGGCTTCACACTGTTACTCTCTCTTTCTCTAAATTGCAAGCAATCAAATAAAACCACATACACTAGGGGTCAGAACTTTAACACCCCCCCCCAAGTTACTGATTACAATAAAGTGGAAAGAGATTCCAGTTTTGGAATCCAGAAGATTTCACTCCAGCCATGGCTATACTTGCTGCTGGGAAACTTGGGCAAAAAGAGAATGAAAATAGTGAGATCAGCCTCATGGGACTGATGTAGAAATTGAATGAGATATCAAAATGCTTGTAGCTGGAAAAGAGTTTTTTTTTATCACTTCTTAGCTTTTTTATAGGGGTTGTAAATACTAGACATGTCCATGAGCCAGCAAAGATACTGGTGTTGACTAATCAAGTCTCAATAAGTTCTCTCCCTATAAACAACATATCATTCTAGAGTTCAATATCTGGTTCTTACTCATGTAGGCACACAGTAAAGTTAAGATTTCATAGCATCATGTCAGATGCTGTACCCATTCAGTATTACCAACATGACTGCTTAAAGATGAATTGAACAAGGTCAACAATAGACATGTAATGAGGACAAGGAAACTTGTGTAGCCTTAACCTCAGTTGTCTGGAGCCCTAACCCTACACAGAGAGCTACAGACAACTAAAAAAAAAATACTAAGAGTGGGACTTACCCAAGGAAGCACACATCAATTGTTTTGCCGATACCAAATGCTCATCCCTGAAAATATCATACAGACATATGTATTTGGGAGGGAGGAATAAGGGTATATGGAAGGTTTTGGCGGGAGTAAAGGGAAAGGAGAAATATCTAATTATCTTACAATCTCAAAACTAAAATACTTCAAATTATTTCCTAGTCTTTTTTAAAAAATATTTTATTTTAAATTATGTGTATATTTGTGTGTCTGTACATGCAGATGAATACAGGCACCCACTGAGGCTAGAGGTACTGTATCTCTCTAGCATTCCAGGTGGTTTTGAGCCACCTGGTGTGGGTGTTGGGAATGAAACTCAGTCTTCTGCAAGAGCAGTCCATATTCTCACCTGCTGAGGCATCTCACCATTTTTGTGTTGATGACGAACTATATAACTGAGGGTGGGCAACTGGACTGTGGAAGCAGGTAGTGTATGTCTCCTATGGGTCTGGTTAGGTTAATACCCCAAATCTACTGAGCATCGTAGTTGGGCAACATAGCACACTGGAGTACTATCTACTTCTGTAATTGCATGTTTCAATGTCACCAAGACATCCCAAGGTACTTTTATTCCCTGTATTGCTGGCCAAGGAAAAGAGCCAACTTTGAAACAACAACAACAACAAAAAAAACATTTCACAGAATATGTCCCTTTTATACCACCATGAAGTTGGAGTTGAACCATCATGATCTGGCAAGAGTCTATGTGGGAAGATTTGTGATGTCTTTTCATTGATTGAAAGGCAGGCACCAGAAAGTCCACACAATAACCCCCAGGATAGAGCTACAATGCATGACAAAGTGTAATTCTTTGTGTGTCTCCTTCCCCTTCTGCCTCAAGTGGCACCTACCCTTCAACAGCTAATCCTGGTTGATTTCAGAGCTCAACTCAGCATGTCTTCTAGGAATAGCTCACTCACACTCAGGGTTAGATCTTTGTGCTGTATTCTAACACATAAACATGCTTCCTTTGAAAAGTAACATTTCTTTCTTCAGCTGCAAACAGAATACATGTTCAAATGACTCCTAAGGTTTGGATATGATTTGAATGTGTCCCCAAGAGTATGTAGGCTGGGAGCTTGCTCCCCCAAATGGTATTAATGAGAGGTGGTAGCTCTCTTAAGAGGGGAAGTCCCCCCCCCTTTCTCTGGCTTTCTATCTTGCCATGTGATCTCTCTGTCCTTCTGCCAGCACTGTGATGACATCTGCCATGAGGTCTTCACCAGGCCTGGTGCCATACACCTGAACTTCCAGAGC